TCCTCTTCTTTTCGTTCGTGGAAATGGTATAGAAATTCCGTGAACCATAGGAAGATAATAAATACCGAAAACGGGGGTCAGCTTGTTTGCCACGTGGCCACTTATGACTGGGTCCGGTTTTCCGTATTAGTCACGTTGACATGTGGACTCCGTTGTCCGTTATTTGATTAGGTAGATGACGTGGCGAGTTTATCGAGAAAAAAAAATAATAAAAAATTAGTTAAGAAACTAAAATAATAAACGGCAAATAAAGGAATTATTTAATATTAAAAATTTCTCGTGTATATCCCAGTGGTGGGATATACGCTTCCAAAAAAGAATCACTGGGCGCGTGGGCGCGAGGGCGCGTGACGTCAGTGCCCTGACAGAGAAGCCTTACGTGTCCGTGAGCTGCATTATTTCGGCGAGTTTATCTTTTAACTATTTTTTTTTTGTTATTATTGGAAGTTACTATTAATTGGTATTCTAAAGGCTAAATTATCAAATATATCTCTTAATTTTTTACTTTTTTTTTTTTATATTTTAATTATATTCTTAAAATTAAAATAATATGATACATGTTTAAAAAATATTCTCAGAAATACTTAATTTTTAAAAAATTTATTTCCTTGATGAATACTCTCTTAATCTTCCAATGTTTTTTTTTTTAAATTAAAAAAATTATCTCATTTAGGAAAAAGAACTAAAAAGTGTTATTGACCTAACTCTCTTCCTAAAGACAACTTGGATGTTATTGACCTACACTCGTATAGACAAGTTGGATATGATTAACATACACTCTCCTTGAGTGTTGAGATATAATATTTGAAGAATATATTATTTATGAAATATATCTTAAATATTATGTCTTAATATTCTTTCTTTTATGATTTGATTTATAGTATATTTATTTTATTCTAAATATTTAATTAATTTATATTTTCTTTATTGGTAGGAATTAGTTGTCATCTTTGTATCCAACTAATACCCTACCCATAAGGAAAATATAAATTAATTAAATATTCATAATAAAATAAAATATCATATAAATCAAATCAAAGAATATTAAGATATAATATTTAAGATATATTCCATAAATAATATATACTCCAAATATTAAATCTCAACACTCCCCCTCAAATTGTAGAGTGTATGTTAATCACATCCAACTTGTCTTTATGAGTGTAGGTCAACAACACCCAAGTTGTCTTTACGAGTGTAGGTCAATAACACCCAAGTTGTCTTTACGAGTGTAGGTCAATAACACCCAAGTTGTCTTTACGAGTGTAGGTCAATAACACCCAAGTTGTCTTTACGAGTGTAGAGTGTAGATCAATAACACTTTTGTCTTCCCAGTAGTGAAAATAGAGAGTGTAGGTCAATAACACTCAACTTGTCTTTGAGAAGAGAATGTAGGTCAATAACACTTTTGTCTTCCCATTTAAAAAGAATACGCTGGTTGATCCTAAGTTTTGAAGTTGGATGATAACACCAAGATCGGTGCTCTTGATCACTTGAGAAGTTGTGAACCACCTTTGAACATCTTTGAGCTTGGTGAGAAATTTGAACTTGAATATACAAACATCTTGAATATGAAGATACGAACATCTTAAATATGTCACCTTTGAGCTCGGTGAGAAATTCGAAAATGCTCATAACGTATTATTGGATGATCGGTGGCTGTAAAGGCTTCACCGATTGAGTTAGTTGAAAGGCTTCCCTAATTGAGTTAGGGCTTGGTTTGGTTCGGATACCAAACTCTAACTTAAGAGGAAATTTTGATATTTAAGAATACTAAGATCAATACTTTGATACAATAGAATTGGGAAGGTGTGTTTTCATTGATATTCATAAGCTTTAAATACGATACAAGCTAGTAACTAATTAAATATTGAGAATAAAATAAAATATTCTATAAATCAAATCATAAAAAAGAATATTAAAATATAATATCTAAGATATAAATAATATATCAACTTTTTTTTTAATTAAAAAAAACAATACTCATTTTTCTTTTCTAATAAAAACCCCAAATAAATAATATTAAATATAATGAAAAATTATTTAGTCAATAACATTGGGTTGACTTTAAGTCAACCCTTATTGTGATGTTTTGAATTTTCTCTGGTTCATGAATTTCTAGTCATAAAAGCAAAACCAGGAATATGAATAGTTTAACTTCTTTATTATTATTTATTTTAATCTAAAATATTAATTTAGAAATATTATGTTTTATTTTATAAAATATGTGATATTAGAGTTTCATCAAATTTATTTAATTTATATGTTTTAGGTTAGTTGAGTTAATCCTCTTATTTATTTTAATAAATTTAATCAATTAATTAAATTTTGAATAATAAATAAATAAATAAATTTTAAATATCATCCTCACATATTATATTTAATTTTAGTGATATTTGAACTCAAGTCTAACAAATATAATTTGACTGAGCTTTTGATCTGGTCTAAATGACATCTTTGTCAATTTTGCTTTTTATTTTGAAGATTTATTCTTATTAAAATGCATAAAATGGTGGTGGAAGTATATATATATATATATATATATATATATATATATATATATATATATATATATATATATATATATATATATATATATATATTTTAATAAAAAAAGCTAAATTAATAGAAATACCCTCGAATTTTATCCTTTTATTTCAAAAATACTTCTAAACGTTTCAATAATACCCTTAAACTTTAAAAAAAAAATTAGAAAAAAACATATATTTACGGTCAGTAATCTGTTAATATTTTTTTAAAAAATCATGGTTGAACTTTCAAAAGGGTAATAAAATAATATTTTAAAAAATGTTTCACAAATATCCTAAATTTTTTTATTAATATCCTTGAAATTTGTAAAAAATTTAAAAATATTAAACTTTATGGAGATAATCTACGAGGTGTTGATAGACTATTTTTTTTTTTTTTTTAAATGAGTGATGTTAATGTTACTCTTAAAATTTTATAGATATTTTTTAAACATAGTATTGACTGAAGTAACCCTGAAACGACCTATTAAAGAACGTTACATGAGAAATATGATTGAATTTCGTGAGTTCGATTTATTAAAATATGCTAAGTGCTTGAAAACATGTAAGATTATTCGGTCATGCATTTTCTGGCATTCCTTTCTCTATTGATGAAGAGATGATCTTGTGCTCTTCGAGAAATGAAGGCAAAGACCCTTTGTAGAGATTTGTTTGGTATCCAACAATTACTCAGCAATCGTCGGACGTAGGGGGAATGGTGGAGTAACCCAAAAACGTTTGGATGAAGTTAGATCTAAATTTTGGCTAGACAAACATCCTATAGCTAGTAGAGAGACATGACAAGACAAACATCCGGTAGCTGGTAGAGAGATATGACAGTCCAAGCCCAACACTAGTAAGAGGAGTTGTAACAGTCTAAGCCCAACGCTAGAAAATATTGTCTGGTTTGATCCATTACATATCGCCGTCAGCCTCACGGTTTTAAAACATGTCTACTAGGGAGAGGTTTCCATGTTTATAAGAAATTATTCATTCTCCTCTCCAACCGATGTGTGATCTCGCAGGAGAAGTTATTGACACAGTAAACTACTCTATAGTAGTGGTGAAGGACATTGTCTACCTAAATATACACGAACCGAAAATAACAAATTAAAACTACAAACCTAAACAAAGTTTAACTACTTAAAACGCATACCACCGACCAAAAGATCAAACAGTATTCAATCCAGTCCTCTAAATATTGAAAAGGGTCGAAGGTGACATCTGAACAACAAGTTGCAACTCGTCCCAACCTCCACTAGTGAAGACATCGCCTCCTCCTCCTCCTCCTCCTCCTCCTCCTCCTCCATCCCGACCTCCACCGCCACCTCCACCATCGACACCGTTCCAAAAGCTCGACGGGTACAAAAAAGAGGGTTCAAAGGAGGCATAGGGTAGGGTTAAGCTAGGGTTTGGCTTAGTTTCAAGGTCTATGAGAGTTGGAAAAGGGTGAGATTGAAAGGAGTTATTATTAGGGTTTTGGGGTATGGGAGACATTATTGGACTGTACTTTCTAATTGATGGGATTCTTCTGAAGATTCTACATAAGGTCCAAACCTCCTGCATATTTTCAAATAAAAAAACATAATTAAATAATTAAATAAATAAAACATAATTACTCGACCCCAAAAATTTAAAATAAAAAAGACATTATTTCATTAAACTATCGCTCGATTTATAAGAGACATTTTTCGCTGTTAAAATATATTTTTTAGATATAAATTACGTCATTAAATTATGTGAACGAAGATGTTTTTTTTTTTTTTTTTTTGGTCGAAGTCAAATGTTTTGAATAAAAGATAATAAAGATAAAGGTCTCATTCAAGAAACTTCAAGGGCTTTTCTTTTTTTCAAAGGAAGGGCAAGAAAGTAAAAACATCAATAATTATTTAATAAGAATAGTAAGGTGAAAATTGAGTCCAATTGAAAAGTATGGCTTTGTAGTCTTGAATTTAAATAAAAACAATAATTTCTTAATTTAAATTAATAAAAATAGATGATGTCACCTTGTAAAAAGACTTTTTTGTCCTTCAAACCTAAATAACGTGCAGATATATAAATAAAAGAGATGTAATTAGCTATTGAATTTATAATCACATTTAATTAATTTAAATTGGAGGTACTCAGGTTTTCACCCCTTGTAAAGGGTGTTTCGTTCTCCTCTGTATACCCCCCTTCAGTGCCAAATCTACTATTTTTAGGGTCCAACGTCTTTACTGGCACACTGTCTTGTGTTTACCCTCTTCGGAAAACAGCTTCCTCGCTGGCACATCGCCCGATGTTTGGCTCTGATGCCATTTGTAACAGTTCAAGCCTACCGCTAGCAGATATTGTCCTTTTTGGGATTTCCCTTTCGGGTTTCCCCTCAAAGTTTTTAAAACACGTTTGCTAGGGAAAGATTTCCACACCCTTGTAAAGGATGTTTCGTTCTCCTCCCCAACTGAAATGGAATCTCATATCGGTCACTGAGAGAGAAAGTTACACAAAAAACAGGAGAAATATTAACGAATAGAACCCGCTTCAATGGGATTTATGTACCTTCTACGGTAGAGTTAACCCATATAACCAAATTTATTTTACTAAAAAATGACCTAAACGTAAACGAACATATATTCAACAACCAATACGTAGAACCATGTATCTGTAAGTCTCGAGAACCCTACGTATCCGTCACGAGAAAATTAAATGGAAAAAAAGAGGGAAATTAAGAAGTCTTACAGCATGATAGTGTTGAGGGCTATTTGTGTTGAAGGGAAGCCTAAACTCATGCATCATCCAATCAGTTTTGGTGCCTTTACCAGCACTTCCTCTATAGTAAACCAAAGATTTTTTGAGGCCAATGCACTCTTGATTCGGTTTGAGTGTCGAAAAAATCGATTTATCAATGCCCGTTGCTTTCCAAAATCCTGACCCGGTCACCCTGTTAGGTCTTATACTGTTTCTATACTTCCTTCCTCGAGTGCAAAAGAAGTACCATTCTTTCTCTCCCATATTGCTTACTTCTTCACCGACAAAAAAACGTCAAATTATCGTTAAGAATACATTCAAAAGATTAAATATATCATACCCTATCACCTTAAACGTTCGAAAGTTTCTTACTTGGAAGATCCCACGGATCATATTTGTAGATATCAAGTTGTTTGATGATTTCGATCGCGATCGGTTTCTTCTCGACCTTTCGTCGAAGATAAAACCCGATGAGCTCTTCGTCGGTCGGGTGAAACCGAAACCCTGGTAGCATTACTTCGTCTTCTTCTTCAACGCCGACGAGCTTACTAAGAACCTCCATGGAAGCTCTCACTATTTTTGTCTCAAAGGTGAGATACCAAAACCTAAGGCTTTCCAAAGGGGCATATATAGAGAGAGAAAAGAGGAGAGAGAAAATTGAATGTTCCTATGAGGCAACACATTTGACTTAGAAGAGCCAAAATGGTGAAAGATTCAATTCAAAAAGAAAGAAAAGTTATGAATAATTTTCTATGAGGTACACGTGTACTTCAACCTTTTGCATTTGTGCCCTCCTTTATGGACCAATAGCTAAATACTTTAAATTAGCTCAAACGATTTCAAATTTTAGGGAGTTGATGTCTGACTAACGTGTTGAAGTCACCCTCGATTGAGACCAAGATGGCAACCACTGTACAGTCTCGGAGCTAGCCCAAGTGAAGATTGACACTTGAAGGCTTGAGGAGACCAACACTCCTTCCAACTCGTACTAAGTGCGTCTTGTTTTTGTTTGACTGGTCTATCTTCTTTATATAATTTGCTTTTGTTTTATAAGTTAATTAGAAAATGAGCTGAATTGTGATGTCTCACGTTCGTAGGGGAGGAGAGCAAAACACCATTTATAAGGGTGTGGAGACCTTCCCATAGCAGATGCGTTTTAAAGCCTAGAGAGAAATCTCGAAAGAGAAAGCCCAAAGAGGACAATATCTACTAGCGGTGGATCTTGGTCGTTACAAATGGTTATCAAAGCTAGACACCGGACGATGTATCAGCCTTCTCGCTGTTCTCCAAAGGGGGTAGACACGAGGTAGTGTGCCTGTAAGGACGTTGGCTCCAAAGGGGGTGGATTTGGTGGCGGTCCCACATCGATTGGAGAAAGGAATGGGTGCCAGCGAAGACGTTGGGTCTAGAAGGGGGGGGTGGGGGGTGGATTGTGATGTCCCACATTGGTTGGGGAGAAGAACAAAACACCCTTTACAAGGGTGGTGTAGAATAAGGGTGCGGAAACCTTTCCCTAGCAGATGCGTTTTAAAGCCTTGAGGGGAAGCCCAAACGAAAAAGCCCAGAGATAACAATATAAAGAGAACAATATCTGCTAGCGGTGGATCTGGGTCGTTAGTTGAATTTTTGGAAAATCTAAAATTTGAGTTAGTTCATTGGGTGACATTCTTTTCGTCAAATCAATGGGAAGCCCGAACGGGAAAGCCCAAAGAAGATAATATCTGCTAACGGTGGATCTGGGTCGTTACACGAACGTTGAATTTTTTAAAAATCTAAAATTTTGGGTTAGTTCACTGGGTGACAAAAGCCCAAAGAAGATAATATCTGCTAACGGTGGATCTGGGTCGTTACACGAACGTTGAATTTTTTAAAAATCTAAAATTTTGGGTTAGTTCACTGGGTGACATTCTTTTCGTCAAATCAACCCAACCAGCTTGAAAATAGTGTTACAATCCTCCTCAACCGTACCCTAATTTTAAGATTATTACGAAGATTATGAATATCTAACCTTGGTAACGGATGTACTGATTCATTGTGACTTGTGAATTTGATTGGATTAGGAACCCGACAACCCAACCGGATAAAATCAACTATTTGAAATATTTTATTATTATTTTTTATTGATAAATTAAAAAAAAATTTATTTAAAAATGTAATTAAAATATATATTAGACTTTGAATGAATTAAGAAAGATTCGAACCTAACACATCTGGTTTCACACCCTAATTTAGAGTTAAGCAAATTTTAAATTCTCTTAATTGATTCACTTTACATCATATAATCATTTAAATTACATTTTTTAGGTATAAATAATAAATAAGATATTCACATTCATTTTTTTATTCTATTTTTAATAATTTGAGTCTTAATCAAATAAATAATCCCTCAGTTAATTAAGACATTATTTTATAATTAAAATCAATAATTTTATAATATTTATGAATTATATATTATAAATTTTCAAATAAGAATTAATTAATATCCACTTGACCAAACATTAATAAAAAATTTCATGAGAATATCATAATTTATTCAAGGGTTTGTAAAATTTTCGAATAAGAATTAATTAATATATTAAATTTTTTTAAAAATATTTGAAGATGGTACAAAATTTAGGAATATTTTTATTAATTTAACATTTATTTATTTACTGGATAAAAGATTATCTAGACATTTTATTAAACACTTTTTTTTTTCTTTTATCTCAACCCATAAATAAATAAATAATGAAAATTTCAATGGTGGTTTACCCCCAAACCAAATAATAATAATAAAAATAATAAAATATTTGAAGACATAAATTTGTTTTTCGAAAAATTAAAATTAATTTACGAAAAAAAAAGTCAAATTAATTATCCCATGACTTTGAAATATATTGGTCAAAGTCCTCGAAGATTTTTTATTTTTTTTCCCTTTCGTGTAGATGGTTCTTATACATCACCATGACGTAATATATATATATATATATATATATATATATATATTCAAGAAACACATAGTCAAAGATAAGAAAGTGAAAAAAATGACTTAAAAAATAAAATAAAATAATTTGATTGGTTGTTTACCAACCTCATCACACCCTTCTAACTTCACTAAACAACAAAATAAAAATAAAAATAAAAATAAATTTTTTTTTTTTTACTGACTTATTAACAAAAACGATATAATTTATAACATAATAATCATGGACTATAATTCAATTGTATCTTAAAAATACCATTATTTATTAATTATATGATTTTGTTCAAATTTTTAAAATAATTTTATGGTGCGTAAATTTATTTAACTAATTTACTTGCATTAATTTTTTTTTGAATAATTAGTTATAAAGTATTTATTAATCATTTAATGGTTAGTCAATAATTTATTACTTTTTTTAATTGAATATGTAAGTGGTGATTCAAACCTCTCACTTATTAATATATATTTCAATTTAAAGTTCAATAATTTAAATCAATCGTAAATTTAAATAAATAAATAAACTTTTATTTCCAAATATTAAGAGAAAATTGTATTATTTCCTTTTGGGCTTTTGCACTTTGTCATTGGGCCTGTTTTGGGCCCATGGGAAATGGGCTTTTTAGCACCACAAAAAAAAATTGAATGACGTCAGAAATTGAAATTAAATTAAAGAATATAATCCAATTATTAAATTATGAATGGTGGGAGTGTAGTCATTTTCAATCCCACTTGGTCAAACTTCTTTGTTATAAATCAAAGTGGAAGGTTTGAAAAAAAAGTTGGAGTAGTTAGGAGTTAGGAATTTTTTATATCATATTATATATATATATATTTTCATGATATAATATTACTTCCGTCACACGTGAATAAAAGAGGTATATAAAGAAACCAAAAAAATTATTATTTTTTTGTTTGTTCAGTGTCTCAGTTGTAAAATTTCAAAGCTAAACGTATTTGGTTTTAGACAATTCTACGTTAAATGGCGTTTTATGGGTTTCCGCATGAATCATGCAAGTGAAGATAAAACATGCTAAAACGACAGTTCTGTAGATATCGAGTTCATATACAAGATCCTAGTTAGCAGGAAACAGGCCATGATTCGTGCAAAAAAATTAGATTTTCGAACCAAAAAATAATAAGGATAATGGTGTACTGCTTCAACCTAAACAGTGATATTGACTACTTAAATTATATCGGAGTCACCGTCAAAATATACTGAAATAAAAGTTTTTTTTTTTTTTTGACCTAATGTATATATTAAATTATTTTAAATGGAATTTGAAGATTTCAAATTTGTATACATTTCCACCTAATAAAAGTTATATTAAAAACTAATTTTTATTTCGTTTTTTATTCAATCATTAATTATATCGGTCCTTATAGTACTTAATTCGCACGTTTCAGGGCCACACACGTGCGAATAACAAACACGTGTCGTGGAATTGCCATGTTCCTGACATGGATAATTAATATCCAGCTCTCAAGTGCCATTTTCAGTTGTAACTGTGATTCATCTCATTGCCACGTGGCAACGTCCGTAATAAGTTGTCACTAATACAACACTGTTCTCTTTTTATTTGCCTCATTATAATTTTAAATTTCGTGTCGACTCATTTTGTGAGATTCTACGTTAGTTGGAGAGGAGACGTTGGTCCCTAAAAGGTAGATCGTGAGATCTTACATCAATTGAAGAGATGAACGAAATATTCTGGTGTAGAAACCTGTTTCTAATGGACACATTTTAAAACCTCGAATGAAACTTCAAAGAGGATAATATCGCCTAGCGTTGAACTTGAGCTTGAGCGGTTTTACAAGTATTTTACCTATTAAGCTATGTTTAGATCGATTTCGTTTTTTTATAGGTAAAAAATTACTAAGCACGAGACTAGATCATATTCAGATTTACTTATACACTCGCTCACGAATATATATATATATATATATATATATATATATATATATATATATTCTTGAGTTTGGTGAGAGGGTGGCATATTAATGGTATTTGTGGAGTAAACTTCTCAACAATAATTTACACTTATTAATATTCATTTATTTACTTGTAAGAATTGAATTGTCTTTTATTTAAATTACGTGTATGTTCAAAACTGATGAATTAATAATAATTTCTTTTAAAAAAAAATAGTCCACAAGGACCACTTCAACATAAATCCCTCGTAAATTTAATTTTTACGTTTTTCAAATTTAAGAAATTTTTAATTTTTAATATTATTTTAAATTTTTATATTTAAATATAAGCTACGAGTGAATAAGAGGTACATAAATAGACCAATATTATATTTTAATGGATTTTGAAAAATATGAAATTTTATTCAATTATTTTTTTTATTTATAAATTTTGGTTTGAATTCAAAATTTTTAACTTATTATTATTATTTATATTTATTATACTAAAAATGGAATTTTCTCGACATCCAAACACAGTCACAACGCCGCCTTTCTTTAAAAAAAAAACATTCTCAAAATCTCTCAATCATGAAGTGTGGACACAGAAAAAATCAAAGCCCACTTTCTCTCTCCTTCTCAATGGGTGAGAGAAATTAAATTTAAATTTTATTTTTGATTAAAAAATTAAACTTTTAAA